CATCAGCTCACTAGCACACTACTGCTAGTGAGTAAAGCAATATATAATCAGGGAAGCTTTATAACAGTCCACCCTTTCCTCCTGGCTACTTTGTCTGCAGTCAAAACGTTATATGTACTCTCCAAAACATGGGCCCTTGCACACACTAGGGCCTTAAAGGAAAATCGTGAGAGCATAAAAACAATAAAATAACCAGTGGTCTAGACTTGGCCAAAAATACCACCCATATACCTACACTAAACCATGATGACTTGTTCCAGCCGCCGGTGTTCTCGTACTGACTAATACACACACCTCGCCTGCTCCTGTCCTGTCTTGTCTACTCTTCAGGACTGATATGCGTCCGGTTTCAGAACAAATCCCGTTAACTGACATTGTATATGGAGCGTTTTTTATACACATTTTATAATACACTGCGTAATACTATGCTAAATATGACTCATGAAATCGTATTGACACGATTGCAAACAAGCCATACCAGGGGCGGGGTTTGAACCCGCGGTCAGTCTCAAAGCTCCTAGACCGTCGTGTTAGCCACTGAGCCAGCTAGTTTCAATAAGATTCATCCAACTAGGTATCTTTCTACACCATAGGAAGGGTTGAAACCCCACCCGTGGTATGTTTTTTTTTTTATGCTAAATATTGATTTCTGGGGTCTAAAGAACGAAGAAGTTTGATATGAATAATGTGATTGTTCTTCCTTGCTCGGAAGATCTAAAATCAGCAAATGCAAGTCTCTTAAAATGATGTAAACATCGCCTTTAGCAGTGTGAATGCGATCAAGACACTTGCAAAACGATGGTTTCTCGGAGGACCACCACATAAATGTTGGCATTTATAAGATACCATGCGGAGGTTGTGACAAATGCTACACTGGCGAAGGCAATTATTTTAAACGTCGATTTTCTTAGCATTGATGCTCTGAAGGCAATGCTGATGATAAAGTTTTTTCGACAAATACAGAAACTCATGACAATATAAATATTGCTAACATTCTAATGAGATGTTATAACACAGTAGAGGAAATTTATGGAATCTGCCAGTCAACAATATTTCTAATTTCAATATTATAAACAAGAACAAAGAACATCTATTGAATATGTTTTTCCTTAAAACTGGTCAGCTGTTAAGTTAGAAAACTGACCAACAAAAACGTCAGTCTTTTGTGCTTTGTAATTAATTATAATGGAAATAAGAGATATAAGTTTATAGTTCAATCAGCTTTAATTACAGGTTCGACAAATTCTGAGACGAGTTTGATTATCAGTTTAAAATTGATCTAATATACCAACAAGTACATAAGTAAGACAATTGCAAATGACAGGTATCTTAAGACAACTGCAGCTGACAGGTATTTAATTAACACATTTGCAACTAACACGTATTTTCAGTCCGATACACAGGTTGATGAAGTCAACAGTCGAATACAGAATCATAATGGAGACACCAGGAACAGTTGAGAGATAAAGATGGTATGATGATCCCATCAGCCTTCATGAAGTCTGAGGTGGTTGTGGGATATCAGGGAAGTTGACTGATTTCCAGAACCGTTGGACCCCCTAAGTTGAGGGGAGATGTACGGGGGGGGGGGGGAGTAAAGTACGAGCAGTGGACCCCCATATCCTAACGTCCGATGTTGCCACATTTCCTAGTCCACTCTTAATTTATAAGGCTAATTTAGAAACGAAGCCTCTGCATGCTAAAAATACATTGCTTCTTATAAGTATTTAAGCTAAGTTAGATTTAGACAGTTATTTAGTTTATCTACAATCATCTTTCACAGCCTACTCAAGCTGACAACAGTGGGCATTTGACCAGGTACATAAAGGGGCACAGCTGCCCACGCCGGACACACAGACTTCAGTCACGAAAAAAAATTCGGGAGCGAGGCAGGTGAGCAGACTAATTGTGGCGATCTATTAACAGTCTTGTTAATTAGGAAAACTTATTCTATGAAAGGCCTTTGTACAGTGAAGTACTCTAACATTCAATAACATTGTAGTACTCTAACATACAATAACAGTGTTGTACTCTAACATACAATAACAGTGAAGTACTCTAACATTCAATAACAGTGTAGTACTCTAACATACAATAACAGTGAAGTACTCTAACATACAATAACAATGTAGTACTCTAACATACAATAATAGTGAAGTACTCTAACATACAATAACAATGTAGTACTCTAACATACAATAACAGTGAAGTACTCTAACATTCAATAAGTGTAGTACTCTAACATACAATAACAGTGAAGTACTCTAACATTCAATAACAGTGTTGTACTCTAACAAACAATAACAGTGAAGTACTCTAACATACAATAACAATGTAGTACTCTAACATACAATAACAGTGAAGTACTCTAACATTCAATAACAGTGTAGTACTCTAACATACATAACAGTGAAGTACTCTATAACATTCAATAACAGTGAAGTACTCTAACATTCAATAACGTGTAGTACTCTAACATACAAAACATGAAGTACTCTAACATTCAATAACAGTGAAGTACTCTAACATTCAATAACAGTGTAGTACTCTAACATACAATAACAGTGAAGTACTCTAGCATTCAATAACAGTGAAGTACTCTAACATTCAATAACAGTGAAGTACTCTAACATGCAATAACAGTGTAGTACTCTAACATACAATAACAGTGAAGTACTCTAACATACAATAACAGTGAAGTACTCTAACATTCAATAACAGTGAAGTACTCTAACATACAATAACAGTGAAGTACTCTAACATACAATAACAGTGAAGTACTCTAACATACAATAACAGTGTAAGTACTCTAACATACAATAACAGTGAAGTACTCTAACATACAATAACAGTGAAGTACTCTAACATACAATAACAGTGAAGTACTCTAACATACAATAACAGTGAAGTACTCTAACATACAATAACAGTGAAGTACTCTAACATACAATAACAGTGAAGTACTCTAACATGCAATAACAGTGTAGTACTCTAACATACAATAACAGTGAAGTACTCTAACATACAATAACAGTGAAGTACTCTAACATACAATAACAGTGAAGTACTCTAACATACAATAAAACAGTGAAGATACTCTAACATACAATAACAGTGAAGTACTCTACATTCAATAACAGTGAAGTACTCTAACATTCAATAACAGTGAAGTACTCTAACATGCAATAACAGTGTAGTACTCTAACATACAATAACAGTGAAGTACTCTAACATACAATAACAGTGAAGTACTCTAACATTCAA